ATAACACTGCATAGTGTTCATTGTATAAATTAAATATAGATTTTTTATCACAGCTCTTTTGCTGTTTGATGATCATTAATGACAGCAGCAGTATGTATAGGCCGCTGTCCCTTTAAGACCTGATGCACGGACACGATATAATGATACACATCACATCCGATTTCTTTCTCAGCTGTTTTCATTCACTTGAGACATAACTGACTGCGTTTACCTGAATGATTGTCGAGATGGGTATTTTGTCATAATTTTATGTGTATGTGTCTGTTCAGAGGATTCAGAAGAGGATTCAGTTCGGTGTTCGTGCGCCGTCTGAAACGCGTGTGCGCGCTTCATGTGTGTGTGGCTGTGCGCGTAGAGAACAGCGCGCGAGTAACGAATCGAGTTCCCTTTCGCCTTTTCTCTCTGGAATTGTTTAAAATTCGCTTGCTTGTGTAAATACGAACAAATGATAAACTTATACTCTATTATGGTTAAATTTTGCAATTAATCTGCAGATCACATGCGTGCCGAACCGTGGGGCTTGGTCCGTATGGATCACGGATCAACTACGATCCATTTAACCACTAGCATGAGTCATTGTATTGGCACAGAAAAGTCTTAAAAATGTCTTCAATGTTCAAAGTTAAATGAGTTTGGAATGCCAAGAGGGTGAGTAAATGACGACAGAATTTTCATTTTTGAGTGAAGTGTCCCTTTAAGAAAAGTACTAATGTGCGTAACATGCAAAAGCATATCCCTCTTTGCTGACTGGCTGACAGAGTTCACCACTTACAGTGATCACATTGTTGTATTGCCGCTTTCCTGCACTTTCTACAGTCACACAATTCCTCACACAGTCACAGCCACTGAGGAAATCCGATGCAATGCTGGTTTCCCACATTAGCTACACAATTGTCCATTCAGCTGGAGACAGTGACAGTGGGGTACAAAAAGACAAAAAAAAGACCAACCACACTCACAATTTTTCACTACACCACACACATTTACAACACACACCAAGCCCTGTGTAACCTTAACCCTTTGCCGGTCCAGCAGTTTGGTTTTCTCAGGTTACAAACACAACACTCAAGAGCATAGTTTCCAAGAGTGCTTTGCTATGCCAACTCTCACTCACTCATTCACTCTCTCTCTCTGACTGCTGGCTAATAATCAAGGGGCCTTCGATGATGAGTAAGCCAATCTGCCTAAATGCAGAGTCATAGGGAATAAAAGTGCTGGAACAGTGTTAAAACACAGCCAGACCAAGACTGGTCACCTACACGCACCATGTAAAATCATTCAAGGGTATCATAGTTTGGATAGCAGAGATGCTTTAGCCAAAACACATTCAGAGCAGAACAAAACACAGGCTTGAAGGAAATACTGCAAATATTTTATAACATGCTCTGTTTTTAAACAGGCAAACTACCCTTGACAATGTGCATTGTGAACGGAACAAAACAGATGAATCTTTAGACAAATAAAACCACTTTTGCATAAACCTGCATGTAGATTAAGGTATTTTTTTTTATTTTCAGGGGGAAAAGTGTGCGACTGTTTAAAAAAAAAAAAAAAAAAAAAAACTCACCACCAATGCTTACAATGTTAGGGTCTTGAAAGTGGTTGCCAGGGCATTGCTGTTCAGTTGCTAAGGTGTTCTCAGTGGTTTTCACCAGTTCTCAAGTCAAAAGAGAGTGAAGGTGATATTCTGGACCCTATATAGCTTTGTCCTAAAAACACTTTAGGACTAATTATAAGAGCTAATTATAAGAACTTAATAACACAATAAGAAATACACCAAGTTTTTTTTTCTGAAATATTTTCTTAAGAATAATACTCAGGACGATGCCTTCTAATACAACTAATTCAATACTTACGTACATTTGAAATAATATTTTAAATGTAATATGAAAAGGAATAATTGACAGCAGTCCATTGAATTATTAGAAAATACACCTCAGGTGAGCATTATTTTCTAATAATTCAACAGACCAGACTGAATTATTCTGCTCATACTACAGTAATCACACCTCAAGTATTGTTCAGATGTTGTATTTCAAGTTTTTGTCCTTAAAATGCTTTTGTGTGTAGGATAAATTTTTTACACATCTCATCCAGCGCTCCGTTGCTAATTCCAAAACGTCATTTTAGAGCTAGTAACGGAGGCTTGAGCCATTGATAGTAATGCAGTTGTTGATGCAGTTATGAAAAGAGAAAGAGAGAATTACCCGAGTCTGTGAGTTTCTCAACATGGTTCAGCTGCAGCATCTCTACTAATAGCGAAACTGCAAGTTTATCTGCTTCAAAAACACTGTTATTACCTCGCTAGTGAGAAATGACAAGTAGCTTTTAAGTTGCTAAACTATTTTACTGATAAAATCCCCAGAGCAGTGCGTGTATGTTTCCGTGTGTGTGTGTGAGTGTGTGTCACTACTGTCGGTGTGTGCGTTTGTAAGAGAGAGAGCAGTGTGCTTTCTGTATTAATAAAACATAATTTGGTCTCAAAAACATGTAAATAATTTGTCCTTTTTATCTTATTGTTGTTTACTATATTTATTTGCTTGGTCAGTGTCGTTGTGGGTTTTGGTTCTTTTGCTGTTGTAAAGCTGTAAGGACCTTTAAAATAACTGAAATCATTTGTTTCTGCCTGGAACAACTTTAGCCGTGCGTTAATTAAATAATTGCACACTTTAGAACATTTGTCAGACAGTCAGATTCAAGCATAAAATAAATTATAAATCTACTTATTAATCTTTAAGCAGAGAGCACCTTAAAAGGTTTACCTTAAGCACCTTAGCTTAGTTTATTTCATTAACATTAATCATCACTGGAGAATTTACTTGCTGGTAACTATCAGGTAAACTAGTAATTTGACAAGAAAGAAAAAAAAACTGTAGTAGTAATATATATGTAGCAAGTACTATCATTACTTATTATAAATATTGAACATTTTACCTTTTAGGATTTAACAAGTAACTTTCAGAAGTTTTTTTTTTTTTTTATTGGTATTATTAAGAACAATTTTTTTTATCTATATACACATATAAATGGATAAATATAAAACAATTTTTTGTTATTTTATTTTTTTTAGAAAATACAAAGAGCTAAGAATTTATTCTACTAAGAATTTTATTCTCATGAAAACTTTATAAATGCAGCTCCGGGTCTTTTAGTCAGTTTAAGTATAGGAGATGTTTTATCATCCAAAAAAAAAAAAACAATCTGATTACTCAGAAAATATCAACACATTTCTCCTTTAAAAAAAAACTTCATCTTTTGATTGCTCAAGTAACTTGACCAGCCCGACATGTCAAGATTGGCTCAACCAATGGCGTGTGCTTGGAACAGGGTTATCCATTTATCCAACAAGCGGCAGAAAGAAGGACTATTATACAAATAAAATAAACTTGAATTGAATTTGGAGCAGCCCATTTAAAACGTGCAAAATGTATTATTTTTGCTATATTATTAAGTGTTGTCCGAGTCACAGAATTCGCACACTTCTTTAAATCAGATGCACAGTCTGTCAACCTAAGCAACAATTTCTGCTTATGAGACACTTCCACATAAACAGTCTGTATGTTAAAATGTAACTTATGTTAACATCCCTCTCTGCTGCCTCAACCTCAAGCAACCTTCCTGGATCTTTCTCAACCACAGTTCAAACAAAGTCCTTTCTAACATGCACAATGAAGAAAACATCACCGTGTATGAGCAAGCGCGCTAAATCTTTTTATTCAAACATCTCGATCAACTGATCAGTCAAGAAACAGACCGATACTGGAACAAAAGCAGCCACAGAAAACAGCTGTTTTCGATGAACCGCTGACCACAAGTGCAGCAAATGCCCAACAGCAACAGGCACCTGGATGAGATCCAGGCTGATGGATCTATGGTAGCCTCTCACCTGCACATCTCTGCAAAGGCCAGGAAATTGAGTTTCTTCATCTTCTTCTCGCTGAGCCAGTAGCCCACTCTTCTGCCTCTCAGGAAAGTCTGCATCTTCAGCTGCTGATGGCCAGATGTGACAGCAGTGTCACTCCAGTGAAAACAGGAAACAGTCTTCTAATAATACCCTGTCAAGCCAAACCCAACAGAGATTATTGTCAGAACCTTCAATTACAAACCTTCATGAGTGTTAAATGAAAAATGGCAAAAGACCACCACTAAACTGTAAAGAATCAGAAACATGGCTGTAAATGTACAAAACAGGTTCTGTCTAAAACAATGCTCAAGTTGGGCTGTGAATCTCCATGGCTTTTACAAGAAACCTAGTGAACTGCCAAGCTAAACTGAATTTAAACATCAGATGCATCATATACAGGTATGAATGTTGTATTAAAACATCATGGGAATCAAAGGTTCAATTCAAAAATGTGTTGCATCAAAGGCAAGTTAAAAAATTTGTTTTGATCATGCAACGCAATGCACTATATTCTATTTCAGACATCTTAACTATTTAAAAATTTGACGCAAAAGTAAAAATGCGAAAGTTCAGTTTGAATATTGGATGCATAATTTTTCAGTGTTAAACACACACACACACAAAATAAGATATTTTGAGGAATATGGGGGTAACCTCACAGTTGCCAGAACCATTAACTTCCATAGTACTTTTTCCATTCTATGGAAGTCAGTGGGTACCGTCAACTGTTTGGTTATCAACATTCTTCAAAATATCTTCTTTTGTGTTCCACGGAAGAAAGAAACTCATACAGGTTTGGAGGGTGAGTAAATGATGACAAAATTTGTAAATTGGGGTAAACCGTCCCTTTAAGATTTGATTTAAACGTCCAGTGCATTCTATGCGAGTTCAAAAGTTTTGATTTGAACATTCAAAGCATCATATTCAAGGTTCAGTTTAAACATTCAATGCAATCTTCAAAGAATCATGGGCGAATTCAGAGCCTTGATTTGAAAAGTTGTTGCATCACTTGCGAGTTTGGATTAAAAAATTAGATTCATAACATGTGATTCCGGATGTTTGATTTAAATGCATCAGATGCATCATACACGGGTTTAATACAAAACATAATGGAATTACAAGTTTGGTTCAAAATTAATTTTGATCATACAATACAATGCATTATACCCCATTTCAAACGTAAACGATCTATTTAAAAATTTGACGGATTAATTATGGTCGTGAAAGTTCAGTTTGAACATTAGATGCATCATATCTCAGTGTTAAGATTTAATTCAAACACATGTTGCATCATGTATAAATTTGAAATATTTGATTCAAACATTGAATGCATTATATTCGATCATCTGAGAGTTTAAAGAATTCCATTTCCATTCATAACTTGCAAGTCCAGACATTCAAGTTGAACATCCGATTAATCATATGCAATTTCGAACTTTCTATTTAAACATTCAAAACACCATGGGAGAGTTCGATGCAGTATTTACCAGTTCAAACATCATATTTAAACATTTGATTCACAACAAGCATTTAAAAAATTCCATTCACATCATGCATTTAAAAATTTGATTCGAATATCCGATTAATCATATGCCAGTTTGAACATTCCAAAGCATCACGGACGAGTTCGGAGCTTCAGTCTGAAAATAAATCCGATGCATCATCATATGCGAATTCTATTCGAATAATCGACCAATAAAACATAAGTCTGAAAAGAAGATTCGAACATTTGATTCATCACAGACCTGGGGCCTGTACCATGAAGCCGGTTTAGCTGGCTAGCCAGGTAAGTTTAAGTTTAGTTTGCACCAATCCTGGGTTTTAGGTACCATGACAGTGGCTTGGCTTTTAGCGGCATTCATTGCCTTAGTAACTTACGCTCCACAGCTAACCTGCTCCGGGGCAGGTTATGTTCTGGTTTAGAGATCTCAAACCGAAATTTGACCAATCAGCTTCAAGCAAAGTGACACATCTCTGATGCAATAAAGCCACTCCCCCAGTTTCTCTTATGGTGCGTTCAAGTCATGCCGGATAGATCGTATTTACGAGTTGAACGAACATGAACGCCACCACAAAGTCATTATTACGAGTGGGAAACTCGAAATTTTCTTTAACCCCCAAGTTTCCGAGTTGGGGGCGTGTCAATGAGAAACATGGCGGAATCGATGGATGCAACGTCTGTAGTTGACGGTAAATTTTTGTTTAAATTGATAGTTTAGTTGTCCTATA